ATAATATATATTATATATCGTAGATTTTTATTTATTATATTTACATAGATTTTAATTTTATATATATAACATATTTTTCCTAGAGGCTTTGCCCCCTGCAGCTGGATATTGCCCACAGCCAGAGGAGAATAAAAGAGCCCAACAGCCTAGAAAAAGAATAAATGTTATATATATATAAATCGTTATAAATCTATATCAATAGATATAAATTTTACATATATAACATTTATTATATGTAATATATTTTATATTTAACATTTTTGTAGGTAACATACTATATAATGTACATTTTACATAATATATAATATAATACATAGTATATATTATATATAGAACATCTATATAAGCATATATGTTATGTATATGTAAATATATAGAATTTTTATATAGGTATATAATTCATGTACTTTATATATAATATATATAAATATATATTTATATGTATAATTTATAAAAAATTATTTACAGCTCTCTGTGGTGTCTCTTCCCACCATCAGCAACCCAAACCCCCACTCAGATGTGCAGCTTCCAAGAAATCCAGTGGTAACACAGCTGAGAAAGCAATGGATGGGCCCTAAATTCCTGCGAGCCGTTTAATCTTCCACATGACTTCCCCAAGCTGCCCTGCAGCCTGGACTTCACCTCCTCTGTCAGTCCTGGCTTGAAGCAAGGTCTGGTTTTCCTCTCAGAAGGAGCAGGATACACACCAGGCAGCTTCTCCTCACGTGGGTCTTGGGGGAAAGATCCACAAACACCTCAAACCTCCACACAGGTCTGGGCACATCAGGCTCCCCAGCCTGTGCTCCCAGCCAACACGTGCTGGCTGTCTGCTCCCTCACTCTGAACTACTGCAGAGCTGGTGGTCACAGCACACTTGCCCCCACAGACCTGCCATATTTCAGCCCATTTTCCAGGAGCAGTATTCCAAAGTGACCCCACTGTTGGCTCTGAGCCTTCCCCCTGCAGGCACGGCCGTCATCTTTGCTCCTCTTTCCGTACACGTTACTTTCCCTTTCTGACTCAGCTCCATATGTGATCCTCCCAGGATCAATTAGCTTTTGCTAATTCACCTCTGCATCATCTCTGGAGGGACCACAGCGGGTTTGTGACTTCACCCTTCCCTCAGCTCTGCTTCCCATCCCCAGGAGGCACCTCACCCTCTGTGCTGCCTCTGCCTGGTACCCCCCAATCCCTCTCAGCTCCTGCTTCCTTTGCAGAATCCTGAGCCCCCTCCCGTCCTTCTGCCTCCCTCCCCAGGCACAGCTTTTTTTACAAACTAGGAGGGGTTTTTTCTTGGTTGTTTTTTTTTTGTTATACCTGTTAATTTGTATTCAGAAAGCCTTAACTCCCAACATGGCCTCTAACACTCCATCCCCTTTTCTCTCCCCGCTCTGATTCGGTCTTTAGACACGTTAATGATGGAAGAGTTTGTGTCCAACCATTGTATTGGTGTTTTCTTGCCAGGAACACCTCATTTTTGTCTCCAAAACTGCCAGAATTTTTGCACAGGCACTACAGATCATCTTCTGGTGTCTTGGTGATCCACGTGGGGCTGGCAGCTGCATCCTCCTGCAATGGCACACCTGGGCACACCTGCTAAATTCTGTGCTGGCTTAACAGTAGCAGTTTCTGCTCTGAGAGGGAGTCTAACTGGCAAATTCCTTTGTACTTAACACTACTATGGTTATTAGGTTTATTTACACCTTTTAAAGAAAAACCTATCTGCTATACTTATTAGGCAAATGCTATGGATTTAAAAACAGCAAATATTTGCTGTAACAAAAAGCATTCCTTGAGAAGCTCTGCCACTCCTCTCATATTTTACTTTAATCAGAATCTATTACTCAAGTGCAGCTGAAAAGCTGATTGATGGGAATCTTGACATGTATTTTACTTACATGTATTTTTGCCCCTTGCAATATTTTTTCTCATTTGTTCAAAAGATGAGAGAGTAGGTTTAGATTGAATGTTAGAAGGAAGTTCTTCCCTGTGAGGGTGGGGAGGCCCTGGCACAGGTTGACCAGAGAAGCTGTGGCTGCTCCATCCATGGAAGTGTCCAAGGCCAGGCTGGACAGGGCTTGGAGCAACCTGAGATAATGGAAGGTGTCCCTGCCCATGACAGGGGGTGGGACTGGATGAGCTTTAAGGTCCCTTCCACCCCAAACCATCCTGTGATTCTGTGATTCCCATTTCCTTCCCCCAGGGTCTGATATCAGGCAGCTTGATTTAACTGAAGGATTCAACCTGTGATTTTCAACTGGTATTATCTGGTGTTTAAAAAAAGAAAAAGTGAGTTTTCAGGAGATTGCCCTGCCACTGAACTCTGGCAATCTGGGATGTTGCCATTCCAAGGGTCAGACTGCAATACAGAATTACCTATGTAAGACAGAGAGAGCCCAGGAACAAATTCAACTCTGGGAATTAAGAATCCCACTCGGAGACAAGTACTACAATGCTGGTCCCAGCACTGATGGGGTTAAACAGCCCAAATCTCTCTTTGATTTTTGCCTTTTCACGTCTCCCCCCAGCAGATGCAGAGCTGACCCCTCTGAGGTAGTGGATGAAGTCCTGGCACAGCCACCGAGGGCAAACAAGAGCCCAGTGTCCAAGCACTTGCCAACCAGTCGTGGGCGAAGTCACAAGACGAGCTCTCTGTAGAATTCCAGGAGAAAGATGCCCAAGGGATCCTGAGGCTGCACTTGGACAGCGGTGAAAGGCCAATTCTGCTGCTGGGAAGCCTCGGCCACACACTGAGCCCACAAAAGGAGTTTTCATTCACGTCCCTCACACACGCACTCCCCCAAATCACCTGCTTTTCCTGACGTACCCGCAGTTCCCAGGGAATAAAATCCTCCACGTGGGAGTTACTGTGGGCCCAATGTGCCACCTAGTGACAACTGCAGACAGCAGCCGAGCGCCTCCGCCGCTCCAGAGCCACTCAGCTTTTCCATTGGGTAATTTCCTTCTCCATTTCCTCGTATTTATCAGCTGTCCTGGCGACTGAATCCAAGTCTTCTAAATATTTGCTTCCAGTCACTATCTTTTCACTGGCTCTCCTCTTCCAAGGGGCTCTTTCCGCTCCTGAAATAGGGTGAGGTTTCTTTTAAACTTTCTAAACTTCAACTCTGATCAACTGTTCAGCCTGGAGAAAAGCAGGCTGGGAAGGGGGGGGCTTCTCCATCTCTACAATTCCCTGACAGGAGAGTGGAGCCAGGTGGGGGTCTGGCTCTGCTCCCAGGGAACAAGGATGAGAGGAAGCAGCCTCACGTTGCACCAGGGGAGGTTTAGGTTGGATATTGGGAAAGATTCTTCATGGAAGGGCTTGTCCAGCCTTGGCACGGCTGCCCAGGGCAGGGGGGCAGTCCCCATCCCTGGAGAGATTTAAAAGCCATGTGGATGTGGCACTTGGGGACGTGGGTTAGTGGTGGCCTTGGACTTGATGGTCTTAGAGGGGCTTTCCAACCTAAATGATTCCATGATTCTAATTTGACCAAAAGCAGCCAATCCCTCCCAGTTATGAGAATGGGAGAGACTATTTCAGCCTTCTCCTGTCCCAGGTATACACAGAATGTCTCTTCACAAATTCATACATAACACATCTGCACAACAAGCTTAAATTTCAGACACTTCAATGACTCCATAATGTTTTTCATACCCTTAATAATCAATCCCTAAGTCAAGAAGTACAAACAGCTCTACAAGAGGCATCACTGGACACAGGCTCTGGGTCAGGAGGGAATAGGAGCCCCAAACTCCACTGCTGACTGTTGTCCCATTACCCACAGCAGTTTTCAGATTTCTGAGATTTTTTCCTCCCCTCTATCTGCTTTGGCTACAGACAACACATCCAAACTGTCTTCTGGGCTGTGGAAGGTGTTTCCAAGCATTAAGGCAAAGGAACTATAACTCATTATGGGACCCTCACACCCCCTAAGATACAAATAGCAGTAGAACAGGATCCATCTGGGAACCTGATGTAATATCCAGTTAGTTTTGCTGGATGGGGGTCAGTCATTCCACATTTCCTCCTCTGAGCAGGTCACAGGGAGAAGTGTCCATGCCTGCAGGTGGCAGCGAGGATGAGGCTGGCACAGAGCAGGGTGGTGAGCAGGGTCAGGGCACACACCAGGTAACTGTGTTCCCTGAGCCCCACAGGAACCTCCAGCACCAATTCCTCCCGTGCCTGCAAGGAAAAACAAATGGATTGTACTCATTTAACAAACGGCTCCTTTTTGCCTGCAACCAGACCCTGATTTAACCAGCCCTTGGCCGAGGCTTCTTCTGGGATTTGAAATCAAAACCAAGATGGGACATCCCCTTTTTAATGCTCAGCAAACACAGTGCCAGCCACTGCTGCACTGCAAAGCTCAGTAAATGGACCTGCTGGCACTTGTATCCCTGTATCTCTGCTCCTACACCCCTGGGGATGTGCAGGGAATACCACGTGGAGGAGAGCAGCTCTCACAGTGAAGTCAGATCAATGAGAAGACAGATTTCCCCAGGGTAAACAACTATTTGGTTTTTTTGTGGATGCAGGAAGCTCCAAAGTGTTTTTGGACAAGAGCTGCAGATATCCCAGGCATCTCCAAGCATCTTAAATATAAGAAGGCACGTGTGTTACAACAACAATGGATTTTTTATTATATAAATCAAGTCTTATTTCTGAATTTCTATGCTACTGCAACCCTTCTGAGCATCAAAGGCAGTTGTTGAACATACTAAAGATCCAACTTCCCTTGGTTTTGAACACAGAATAAGAAATTTCACCTTTCCTTACCCAATCAGATACCAACAAACAAACAGAAGTGGCCTTTTTTTTTAGGATGCTATTCCTTAAATCTTTGCAGTTTTACCCCTCCTTTAGTTATATCATCAAGTAGTTTGTCACTCTGCTATTCCTCTGAAGCACCAACATCGTAAAGACTTTTCTTAATTTGACCAGAGCCAGTTATATCCTTAAATTCCAAGTAAACTAGTAAGGAAAAAAAAAATAGGTGAGAAGAGCAGCCATCCCAAAGGGCCAGAAGAGCCCAGAGTGACTAAGCATGGCAGAGGGGCAGGATGACCCCCACCAAAAACCACTCAGAAAGGAAGAAAGGAGCCTCACACAGGGGGAACCACCCAACTAGTCTTCTACTGATTAATTCCTGTGCTATGGAAGTTGCTAATCACACCGAAAAAAGAGGCAGGAAATGTTAAAAAGAAGCAGAAAGGAGAACTCACGGGTCTGTGTGTTGTGCTGTGCCACTGACAGGGACCGACGTTCTCGGCCAAGCAGGGAGCTCCCACTTCAGCAGGCTCCCAACACTCTGCTGCCAGCTGACCTAGGGAAGGCATCAGTGCATCAGCAGGAGCATGGGGGGATGAAGCAATCTGGCCTGCAAGACTCTGCCAAATAAGGGATCTTTCCCCCAACAACAGCTTGACAGAATCAACTCCCTGGAAGGCAAGCGGTGAAACAGCACTGACAGAAACATGCCAGCTCCCCTGCACGGCCAAAGTGATGCTGGGCAGTCCTTCCTGTGAACTCTGCAACAGTTCCCTTCCTGATACAGCAGGTAGCCAAGAAAGAAGCTCACTTGTGTGGCATCTTGGCCCTTCTGTCTTAACAGGGAAAAGAATTCCTGGTTAGCCTATAGATCCCTCAACTTTACCCATACTTAGAATTTTCCCCAAAGTAAGTAAGTCATTTTTCCATTTCTCTTTCTTGGCCTTCTCTCAGCAAATGCAAGACCTTCCTTCCAACGCTTTACACATTTTCATAATAATAATAAATGTTTTCCTGTTCGTAAGGAGTAAATGTGGCAGAAAAACAGGAAGATTTCAGGCCCCTTTTTTAAAAGAAAAGGCAGTCTTGCCTGTCCCTACCTTTACCCCAGAAAATCACTGCTTAAATGATGCACAAGTGAAGATAAAGGAGTTGAAAACCATTAGTGTGTTTGATTTGGCAGCTGGCAGGAATGATTTTGTGAAGGGACACAAGATTTGCAGCAAAACTATAAGATTTCATTGTTCATATAACTTGAAATATTCATTGTCAGTGGTATCAGGTTCTCGTTTCATCCGAGTTTGAGACTCTGACCATTCTAAGCCTCAGGCACAGTTTCCTACATTCCCCCTTTACACAAAGGGAATGCAGGAACAAAGTGTCAGAAACCATCAGAATACTTTGATTCCTCTAAATAGGCGACAGTGGATATTAAATACACCCTGCACAGCTTCAGCTGCCAAGGGAAACACTGGGAGCATGGTCAGAGCAGGAGGCCTTTGGCAAGCCAGGGCCTGCCGGGATCACAGCAAACACATGGATCGTGACAACTGCCAACAATTCCAGCTGGAAGAACCCAGACAGCACAGGGGTACAATGGCAGCAGCATAACACCAAGAGGTGTGCTGACAATCCATCTGCCTTTGTCCAGGCAGCAGCACCCAGCGAGGAAGACAACGTGGTCTTTATCAGGGCCACACCTTCCCCTCGTGCTCACGCAAGCACCAAGAGCTCCGTGTCCAGCAAAAAAATACAGAGCCAGACTCCAAGCTCTGGATTACCCATGGTTATTCCTCTCTCCCCAGAAAAACATCACGGAGAATCTCACTGTGGCAGCAGCAGAGCAGCACTTCTGGGCTCTCCAGAACGACCGAGGCTTGCTGGCTGCCCTCGGCGGGGCGGTGGTACCGCGCGTGCACGGGCACAGCAGCGCGGAAACAGCGGGAACACCGCGGGTCTGCCTCCAGGGACAGCACCAGGACGAGAGCCGTGGCCAGGTACTCGGGAGCCTCCACATCAGTGACATCAGGAATTAGCACGGCCTGCGAGTGGGAAAGGTACAGGTGTGGCTGTGATCGGAACTGACGCCGGGGGGAAAACAATTCCCCTCATTTTATTTTCTAGCACTGGCCTTGATTTCGTGGTCAGGATGATCAAGCTGGAAATTCTGGCCTTAAGCTGCTCCAAAATACCTTTCTAAGTCCCTCTCCAATGAGTGATTCCTACATGTGAAAAGCTTAGTGTCACTGTGCCTGCAGCCAAACCTGGGAGGCATCAGCTCAACGAGGTGAGTAAGCAAGGCCGGACCTGCACCTCAGGCACCCCAAAGGCAGAAGGTGCCCACAGCCTTTGGATCCATGTTTTAACCAAATTAAGCACCTAAGGAAATTTAAGCCACAGCCTTTGTGCATCTCTATATCCAAAATGTGAAGCAAAGACTGGAAAGTAACACAGAAAGCCAGGATGAAAACAAAGCTGGGAAGCTACTCCATCCAAACACACAGCACACTGCTTACAACTCCCCACCACCTTTCTGGGGGCTACCCTTCCCCCTTCTCAACCCGAGTGCTTTTCCCACAGCTGCTCACCTGGGGCCTAAGCAGAGGAGCAGCAACTCCACCAGACAGTGTATAAGAATATCAGCAGCACACAACACAAAACTGATGCTGATCAAACCAGAGATACAGTGAGATGTCACAAAGACGATTCTGTGTGGCATCTCCTTCCAGGGATTAATCCCCTTGGTGCAACAAGCCAGATGATGAGCAGAGTCAACAACTCCCTGAGTCCTTATCCAGGTCACTGCCAGATCTCCTGGCATTGGGGCTGTTACCTTGGTTAAATTTTGCTGCTGCAGCATCGCCAGCTCATAGGAATCCACGTAGATTCCTGGTGGAAGACGAGTTCTAGCTGCCACTGCACATCCCCCTGCATCCTCCCCAAGCTCCACCTTCACCAGCAGGTCCCTTCAAGCAAAAACAGAAGCAAAACATTTATACCTGCCCTTCAAAAGTTGGCACAAAACCCCTGAGAGACATTTCCCAGATGCACAGAGAAGAGATGCAGCTCTCAGACTGTGCAATTCATTCAGAACACAGTTCCCTCCAAGCCGTGGTCTCCTTCACCCCAACTCCACACCCATGGCCAAAATGAAGTTTCACTTCTTTGTTAACTTCTCAATTACCAACTGTCTCCACAGAGATCTTAGAAAGGGAACTCCAGTGAGGAGTGTTCTCCTCCACTAGAGCTTGTTAATCATTTGATCATGTTAATCCATTCCTGAAACATGCCCATGGTTCAAGAAGTTGATACAACTGTGCCTGAAAAGAGGAGAAGCTTCTTCTCATGTAAAATCAGCCCTGATGTTGTACTGATGGAGGGCTGGGAGAGCACTCACCTGTGAAACCCCTCTTTGAGGAGCTCCTGTGTGACTGTGGTGTCCCGACAGGCTGCCTGCACATCTGAGGTGACACGGAGACAACAGGTTACAGTGTGCACAGAACAGCACAGAGATCACAGCACACTGATCACAGCACTCAAGAGATCACAGCACACACAGAGATCACAGCACAGTGATCACAACACACACAGAGATCACAGCACAGTGATCACAACACACACAGTGATCACACGGGCTGGCAGCTTTAACTAGTGAAGCCATATAATCCATGAATATCTCATCTGCAAAACCTCTCACAGCAGAATTCGACTGTGATCAACAGCAGAAGAGGTTTCTCGGGCCACTGACTGAGATGTGCTTCCCAAATCATGGAATGGTTTGGGTTGGAAGGGACCTTAAAGACCATCTCGTTCCACCCCCTGCCATGGGCAGGGACACCTTCCACTAACCCAAGTTGCTCCAAGCCCTGTCCAACCTGGCCTTGGACACTTCCAGGGATGGGGCACCCACAGCTTCTCTGGGCAACCTGTGCCAGGGACTTCCCACCCTCAAAG